AAAAATTATACAGATTTCTGTGTCATGGTGATTAAGATTTTTACACTGTGATTTATGCCTACTTTTTTTTTTTTTTTTTTTTTTTTTGGCAGAACTGGGGATTGAACTCAGATCCTTGCATTTGCCAGTCAAGTGTTTATCCTACTGAGCCATCTTCCCGGCCCTTTATTGCCTACTTTTTATACGGGATATTTGGCAGGAGATAAATTACAATGAACTTTGTTATTATGTACCCAAACATTAAGGTATGGAACTTAGGAGGGCTACATGAATTTTATTTGTAAACCATGTACAGAATACTTGGTAACTACCTTCATACCTTATCTGCTTAGAAGTAATGAGAGCATGGTTTTGAGTAAGACACTTTTTGTCTGGCCACAGCAGACATTACTATTATGTGACTCTTTAAGTAATTTAATCATTTTAAAATCTTCTAGGTTGTGGGATGTGTGGCATAGCAGATACTTAATTTTGTATTTCAGGTACTTATGGAGTTGTATATAAGGGTAGACACAAAACTACAGGTCAAGTGGTAGCCATGAAGAAAATCAGACTAGAAAGTGAAGAGGAAGGGGTTCCTAGTACTGCAATTCGGGAAATTTCTCTATTAAAAGAACTTCGCCATCCAAACATAGTCAGGTATGGTATGCTGTCTGAACTGTAGCTATTTTCTACATCCTATTTCAAATGTGAATTTCAGTCTGGAAAGTTGTACATTTTCTTAATTTTTGGCCCAGCCTTGCTCTTTTTATTTATTGATTGTAAAGACTGGGCATAAGTATAAGAATAGTTGTAAAAGCAGAAACAGTTAGAGGGGCTGAGTTGCTAGGAAAGCAGGGTGGGTTGGGCTTAGGGGAAGGCAGCTCAGAAAAGCTTTGTCAGCTTTCTCCAGCTGTGGGAGGCCTAGTCCTGAAAATCAGTCTTTCTCCCTCAAAATTTATTTCTGCCATTTACGTAAGTGGGAGGACAGTCTGAGTAATGGGTAGCTAATCTAGACACATTTTGAAATAACAGCTTATTAATAATGTAGTGCCTCCTGTATAATAAAACTTGTTATCCTGATAGTCCCTTTTCAAATTCTAGATTTATATCAAGGTTTGTTTTTTTTTAAAGTTTGGAAGCTACCATCTCTTTCCCCCCTTTTGTAGTAATTACATTTTGTAAAAGAGAAGCTGAATATATTTGCTGGATTGTTTCTTTCCTATAATTATTTTTATCCTTCAGTCTTCAAGATGTGCTTATGCAGGATTCCAGGCTGTATCTCATTTTTGAATTCCTTTCCATGGATCTCAAGAAATACCTGGATTCTATTCCTCCTGGGCAGTTCATGGATGCATCACTTGTTAAGGTAAGAAGCTTGAGTACTTTTATTATCATTTACCTGCTGTGAAAGAAGTTTTCTCTATGTAGAAGTACTTGGAGAGAGTATTTCACTTTCCTCCCAGACAGACTAGATTAACATTTTATCAGCTAGTGCTTCTGACAAGTGAAAAGTGATGTCTGTGATAACATGAAACTGGAAAAAAAAAAATGCTATTTGGAAATTCTGGGCTTTCTTTGGTTGTCAGGGAGGTTTAAAACAGCAGGAAGTGGTGGTAAATGGCTTTATTTTATCCTAGTTTAAGATATGTTTCAAGCTGATTATGGTTGTACATGTCTGTAATCTCAGCATTTAGGAGTCTGAGAAAGGCTAGCCAGTTAAGACTAGCCTGCATTGCTTAGGCATCCTGTTTCTAATAGCAGAAAGGGGGAAAAATGGGCCAGCCAAATAGCTCAGCAGATTAAAGCACCTGCAGGCAGGCACAGGGGCCAGGGATTCAATGCCCAGGCCTGCTGTGCTGGCCCTGCCCCCAGGGCACACTGAGACAGACTGGGCTTTGTGGCATGCACCCCTGTAATCCCAACACTTGGGAGGCTATAAACAGGAGAATCACTACAAGTCCCGCCTAGTAGTGAGACCCTGAACAACCTGTAGGCCCTTCCTTAAAATACAAAAAAGGGGATGGGAGAATGTTTTGTTTAATATACGCTAGACATTTATTGTATTTCGTGTAAAATAAAAATATGACTTTAAGAGTATTAAAATGTGTAAATAACAGTATTTTATTATGCTAACAACTGATCATTCTTGACAGCTATTGTTAATTTTATTTGTAATCCTATGGACCTCATACAAGTGGAATTTTATGTATATATACATAAATAGCTTTTTAAGTAAACTTACCAGACATGTATATCTTTCTGTTTCTGTTTGCATTTTTGATAGAATTATTTAAGCTATTTCTATGTTGATAGACAGGTTGTTTTCTAGCTTGGTGATCTTATTAACCATGCTGTAGTATCTTTGTATTTATCCTGTGCACCTTTTTTTAAAAAAAAAAATAATTAATTAATTTGTGTGTGTGTGTGTGTGTGTGTGTGTGGCCAGCGCAGCCCACCAGGGGGCGGGGGCTGGCTGGCATGTGGTGCTGGGGGATTGAACCGTAGTCCCTGTGCTTTGCTAAGCTTGTTCTAAGTAGGTGCTTTAGATCACTGAGCCATCTCACCAGCCCTCCTGTGCACCTTTATGGATAAATTTAAAAGACAGTAAGATTTTTTATTTGACTTTTACCATTTTTTTGTTCATTTATAAATAGCCAGTACCTCTTCTCAGGTTTTAAGCATTTCTTTTGTTACTTTTTCCTTTTTATGTTTTTGCCTTATTTAGTTGTGTATACTGCTAATAAAGTTTGTGATATACATAAAAAGCCTTGTGTTGATTTTGATTATCAGTTTTATGTCTTGTTTAAATTTTCCTCACTTGAATATCATATATTAGTAAATAGCAGTATTTTTTTTTAATACTTTTAGTAGGGTCTCCCACCACACTCTCCGATACCTTTTTTGTCTAATTCTGACATGTTTTACTTTGGTTTAAGAGCTAGATATAAATCTAACTTTATTCCCAAATAGCCGTTGTCCTAACTGGATTTAATTATTTTCTAATGTCAGACTTCCCAGTATTTTATTGTGTAAGATACTTCTATAATACCCATGTTTTAAGTGACTAATTACATTGTCACTTTAAGTGCCAATTACATTGTCTTTGGTAAGGTATTTTATGATTAATTATATGTAAATATATAATCAGTATCCTATTTGCTATTTTTTTTGGAATATTTGACTAATGTTTTCAAAGAGGAAATGTGTGTAGGGATTCAAGGTAGAAATGAAGAAGATTGACTTCATTCAGTATAAAAACACGGCTAGTATAAACATACAAGAGAAACTAAGAAAATTCGACATAGGTGACTAGCCTAAGATTAAGAATAAGCTGCCGTTAATACATAAAAGTGGATTGAGTTGGTCAGGATACCGATGTCCATAGGTGAATGTCTTTCTCTTCGTTACACAAGCATATAGTGTATAAATGGACTTACCACTACACAAGTGCTTGTTAGTTTAAAATGTCCTACAGCTTTTTTGGTAAATATTCCCTGCATCATAATGTCTTACATCTTTAAAACAAATGGGATAAAGACTAGTTAGAAAATCATCTGTGGTATGATTAAGTTTCTTATTTCCTTTTTCCAGAGTTATTTGTACCAGATCCTTCAGGGTATTGTCTTTTGTCACTCTAGAAGAGTTCTTCACAGAGACTTGAAGCCTCAAAATCTGTTGATTGATGACAAAGGAACAATTAAACTGGCTGACTTTGGTCTTGCTAGAGCTTTTGGGATACCTATTAGAGTATATACACATGAGGTAAGTGGAATAGTGATTTTCATACTTTGGAATGTGTGCTTGATGAATTGTTTTCTGTATTTAAGTTAAAAAAAAAATAGTCGATAAGAAAGATTTCCACTCTGACACTATCAATTTCTTGCTTCTCATTCCAGGTTCACCTCTTATTACATGACATGTGAAAATACAATTAGAATTGTGATATTTCTCCTTTGCCAGATGCCTTATTAAGATTTGTCACTAGAGGGTACTGGAGAGGCATTTAGAGTTGCCACTATTTCTTAATAATCTTATTTATTCAAATCCCATGACAGTTTAATTATTTAAACTTTTCCCATTCAAATGACGATGTGGTTTCTTTCTCCTGATTGGACCTTCCCTGATACATGATCATATTGATTATAGATAGGTTTTGTTGCTTAAGGAGTGGTATTTCTGATACATGGTCCATTTATTTATTTATTTATTTATTTATTTATTTATTTTATTTTTGGGGCAGAACTGGGGATTGAACTCTGGCCCTTGCGCTTGCCAGGGGAGCACTTATTCTGAGCCATCTCCTCGGCCCCTATGGTCCACTTAGAAGTCACTACTTACTCCTTTGTTTTCATTCCCCTGCCCTTGCCTTCTTCCTCTCCTGAGTACTGGGAGAGTAAGTACTGAGTACTTGTGCCTGCTGGGCAAGTGCTCGTCCACTGGGCTGCATCTCTAGCCCTGTTGTAGGTTTTTTCAGTCTTCTATTGGCAGCTTGGCATTTTTATTTCATTTTGGGATGGAAAGGAAATGTTAAATTGTACCCATGCCTTCTGTAGAGTTGTGTACCTTTAAGCCCAAAGATAACTAGAAGTCAAAACTGGTAATATCTACCTGGTTAGATGTCTTTGTTGCCTGTTATTTCTTTGTGTTATTTTTCCCATCATTATAGGTAGTAGTATTTGATTCCTTACTTTCTCATTAGCTGTGCTGTAAGAGGTTTTATTTTTTCATTATGATACACTAAGATGGTTAATTGGTTCTATCTAGGTCACTGATAAACTTGGCTAGTTTAGCTGGCTAGTTGTGCTCTCAATTTCTGTTAAGATAGTGATCTTCGTTGTCCTTCTAGGGTGTAAGCAGTACCTGCCATTTCTGTAATATCAGTCCTAAGCCCCAAACCCATTATTTATATTTTTTTGTTTAGTAGAAGATTGGACCAATAACTGCTTTGATCTTTCTGCTTTTTGTGTTTGAAAAGTAAGAAAAGATAAGTGTGTTCTGCCTCCCTGTCATGAGTAGAAATCAGAAATTTAGTATTGTATAGATAACTGGTTTGCTTAGACAGTATTATTGCTGCCCACTGTAAAGCTTTCTAAAGGACAATCGTTATGAAATATAAATGTTTAGCTTTAGGTAACTTAGTGCACGTCTACTCATGATACAACTTGCTTTGTGGTAGGTAGTGACACTCTGGTATAGATCTCCAGAAGTGCTGCTGGGGTCTGCTCGTTACTCGACTCCAGTTGACATTTGGAGTATAGGCACCATTTTTGCAGAATTGGCAACTAAGAAACCACTTTTCCATGGGGATTCAGAAATTGATCAGCTCTTCAGGATTTTCAGGTACTGTTATTTTAAGCTTAAACTATTAAAAATCTTTTGTGTAAAATAATAAAGTTAACATATTATAAGCTAACAAGATGCTCTTGCTTTTAGTTAATGTTTCTGGTTTTGCTACTGTTTTCAGAGCTTTGGGCACTCCCAACAATGAAGTGTGGCCAGAAGTGGAGTCTTTACAGGACTATAAGAATACATTTCCCAAGTGGAAACCTGGAAGCCTGGCAGCCCATGTCAAAAACTTGGATGAAAATGGCTTGGATTTACTCTCGGTAACCAAGGCTTTACATCTTAAACAAGATATACTTTTATGCTTTACTGGCTTTAATACTATTCATGACTCTGAATGTATTCAGTCCTTTTACCTGGGAGAGAGGAAGAAAACTGACATGTTTTAAGTTTAATTTTTCCCCTGTGGTTTTGCAGTACTGGGGATTGAACCAAGGGCCTGGTTGCTCTGTATACTTTAAGTACAGGAGATGCCTTTATATTTTTGCTCTTCTCTGTAGTGCTAAGGCCGTGGACATGCTTTTTAGGCTCTCCACCCCTGAGCTGTATCCTTGTTGTTTTCAAATTAATGTAGTTGCCTTTTTTCCCAGTTTTTTGGTCACATTTACCAGTGAGCCCCTTTTTTTAGTCTATCCTAGAAAGAAGTGCTTTCTTTTTAGTTGATATTTTTAGTTATAACTCTTTACTTTTTGTACAATTTTTCTCCATTAGAAAGTTTAGAAGGACTAATGTAGTTTTTTTTCTTCCTGTATTGTATTGCTATTCCCAGTTAACAATTGTTTCATTTAAAAACAAGATGAAGAAATTAATCACCGGAGGGGGAAAAGCTTGCTTTAAGAAGCTTAGTTTATAACAGTTTTAAACTTAGAATTTTTAGAGGATCCTGTTCTATAAATCTTAGGTAACTTCTGATGCCAGAAGAAAAGCCTTAGGTTGAAACAAAAGGAAAGAAATATCCATTGCAGTATCATTAAATATATTTTCTAATTGGTCTTTGAGTACCTTTCAGAATCTATAAATCATGTCACCAAATTAAGCTTGAATTTTCCATTGCTTATAGTGAGGTCCAAAGTCTTTCACCTCTGCGTACGTCAGCTTCCTGTCACTGGGATGACATACTGAACACTTGCAATAGGGAAAGTTTATTTTGGCACACAGCTTCCGTGGGCTCAGTCCATGGCTTGCCAACTCCAGGGCAGAAATAACCATGGAGAAGGGCCCTGATGGAGGAGACCTGCTTGCGTGGTGACAGCCAGGAGTCTGAGAGAGAGAACGTTAGTCCATCCTCAGCGACCTGGCATACTAGGTGGAGCAACTCCATAGTCCAGTGACCTTTCAGAGTCCCACCTTCAAATGCATGGAACTTTAGGGAGACATTTTAGACCTAAACCATAAATTATTTTCTGTATCCGTATAGTTGGCTGCCTCATGTAGCTTGTGCTAAAGTAATGGAAATGTTCCAGACCCGACCTGCCTTTCACTTCTAAGCTTCTCAAACACAAAATTTTATTTATGTTGGTTAATGAAACAAAAACAAACCTCTAAGTCAGTTTACACAGTCTAAATATCTTGGCCTAGATCATTCTTCGGACTAGCTTCTGTATTGGAGTGTAGCTCATTTATGGTCTCCTAGGTCTGGTGTCCTCATTTGTAAAGTGATGATTCACATCGTGGTTCATTTTAGTAACACATTGTACTGTGGGGGTTTTCTTTTGTTTGAAATTTGAAGCTTCTTAGGAGCTGTATCCAAAACCACAATAATTAACTGCCACCATTTTAGGATTGTGGTAAATAACTTGGATAGCCGTTTAATTCTTAAATATAATTAGATATCTTTCCCAAATGCATGCCTTCGTTTTAAAGCTATATCTGAATGTTGTCTTACTATTATTTATAATTAGATTATGAAGATATGAGGTAATGGGGCAGATTATTCTAAACCTTGGAAATATGTGGAGGAATGAGATATTTATGTAGCTTGTGTTAAAAGTATCAGAAATATTCATTTAGTAGATTTTACTAAAATTATTAACATTGTTTATTGGTTTAAAAATATCAAGGCTTTATTCAATATTAGTTGATATTTCTAAGATTTTCTTCTTTTTCTTTTTCTCCCCAGAAAATGTTAGTCTATGATCCTGCTAAACGGATTTCTGGCAAAATGGCACTGAATCACCCGTATTTTGATGATTTGGATGGTCAGATTAAGAAGATGTAGGTTTCCAACAAAGAGCTTCCACATTATAATCTAGGATGAATAGTTGTATTTTTACTGTTGATTCTGTCTGTTTTTGTCTTTTATATTTTTCTTTGCTGTGAACTGAAACTGTACTTCACTTTCCATTTCAAAAGTATAACTTAAAAATGTAAATATTGTTCTATATAAATTTAAATATTCTATATTATGTGTGTAGATCTCACTGTGACAGTTATTTGTTACTATAAACTATAAATGTAATGCTAGTGTCAGGCATTGGGGAGGTTTTATTATTTGGCTAGTTCAGTCTGCCTTAAGGGCGTGTCTGGTGCAGCTCGTGGAGCTGGGGATCGAACTGTGTCCCCTTGCACCTGACTGCATTTGCCCAAGCTGCACTTCAAACAGCCGAGCTATTCGGGAAGCCCCCCTGGCATTGGGGAAATTTTGAGCTAGTTTAAATCACCTCATTCCTTATAGCAGTTACATTTTCCTATTGTTGGAACTACTGGAATTTAGGCAATTGTGCGAAGTTCAGTTTTCATTGAACTCAGTACTTCAAACTATAGTTAGAAGTATTTTTGTGCTCTGAATGCTTAAATTTTCGGTTCTATTTCTTGCCATGTGGTAACTATACAACCTTGCTAAAAATGAATATTTTTTTTTACTGGTATTTCAATTTGTGACCTAAATGTTTAAGCATTCAAGGTGATAGAGCTATACAAATCTGAGAAATGATGCTAAATTTATAAGGGTTTTCAGTAACTTCTAAAACTAACATTGCAGCATGCCAGAGTTTGCTGAGTTTTACAGTCTAAGATCAAGGGCTGTCCACAGCAGGGAAGAACAGTTTGAAAATTTATGAACTCGCCTATTTTTAGGTACATTTTGAAAGCTGTTTGTCTAAGTGAATTCTTATGCTTTGGCCAGAAGTAATAGCTATGAAGGAGTTGCTTATATCTTGGCTTTCAGGACTGACTTCACTTAAAAATTTTCACATTGTTAATTGGCAGCTCTCTGCAGATATTCTGATACATACTTAGCTAAAATCTCTAGCTCTGAGATTTTTTTTTTTTTTTTTTGGGTGTACCAGGGATCGAGCACTTATTCCACTGAGCTATCTCCACAGCCCTCTAACTCTGAGAATTAATTATAATTCTTACCTATGTGCGCCTAGTTCAAAATACTTGCTAGAGTCAAGAGAAATATCTATAAAAATAATTTTATTTCTGTTTTAAGATATATCTATTGTTTTATTGAACACATTTTTTTTTTTTTTTTTTTTTCTACTTCCCTATGGTTTGAGTCTGCATTCCTGTGTTAGGTTTTTTACCAGGTTGATTGGATGTGCAATGAGTGATCTGTCTTACTCTTTTGCACATATCAGTGAAAGTGTGGCAGTGGGGCAGCTGATAGTTGGTTGCCTTGCTGTAGAAGTCGTGGAAAGCCAACTTGCTGTAAAAGAATCCAGAGCCTGCAGATGGAAGTCATTTGGAGTCATATTAGGGAAAGTTGCAAGATTTCATGGTAGGAATTTGGGAAATGAAAAGTCACACAAAAGATTTCAGATAGTTCAGTGGCGCACATATCTACAGGCTTGTGTTTCCTTACAGAGGAAGAAAGATTGAAGTAGAACTGTTTTTCAAATTGTGACTTTATTTTAGAATTGGCATGAACCACTGGAGTAGAAACTATCTGTGTGTCCTACACATACTCTTGTTTCCGTTACACTAATATGAAGTGTATGTTTGGGACCTTAAAATGTGGCAGAAGGACTCAGTGGAGTCTGATTGTCCAAAACATCAACAATGCACCCATTTAGTACTGCTTTGGTAGACCAGCACTAAAAGATAAGATAGTAGGACACTGGCATCTGTAAGGTTTGATCTATTTCGATCTTGCTTCAAATACTTGCACAATAGTGTATGTCAGCTTCAGTGACTTGTTGAAAAGCTACCGAATCAAGATATCTCATGCATAGTTTTAAATAAATTTGTGTTGGGGTGGGGGGACCCTGCTTAGTTTTAAAATGATTAGATCATTGGGTTTTGCTCTGGTTCTGACCTGGGGTAGGTAGTTCACCCTTCCTTAAGCAGCCAGGCAGACCCCCACCCCAAACAGGTCACCATATTGATGCCAGATTTAGTGCAGACAGTGGTATACCACCACACTGCTCACAGAACTCGGGGACCCAAGCAGTCCCCCTACTTCAGCTCCCCAAATAGGACTATTGGGGTGGGACACACGCCCTAATGGGCCACTGGTTTTTAAATTTGTAGTGTGCTGGAAGTGCCTGGGAATACCTCTGGTGCTACCCTAAACAATTCTGATTTTGAAGTTGGGATATGCATGCCAGAGATAAATTTTGTTAAAAGCTTCCCAAGCTCATTGTGACAGAGCTTGTTATAAGTTGGTGGTAAGTTTGATGACTGGACATGTATCTAATTTTGTCTTAAAACTCCATAGCATCATGCAGTATTTAATTCTATTTCTGATTGTCTATATTTAGAGGAAGAAGTAGGCTAGGTATTTTAATCTTCAATGTGAGACCTTTATGTTCTTCAACACAGCTCTGTAATTACTGAAAATCTTAAATGTTATCCATCTTTTGAGGGTTTTTAATTTGAATATGTTGGCAATAGAAAAATACAGAGCAGTCAATAGAAAATATACAACAAAATATTATATGTATATGAATATGGCATATGTTCTAAAATAGTATTTTAGAATAAAATAACCTAATAAAAGTTGTTTTAGGGACTTATATTAAAAACTAAAATTTCAGTTAGTTAAATGTCTTGAAGTGCTTGAAAAGACTTGAAGCTATTGGTTGGAACAAACTTTAGTTCTGCAGTAAGATATGGTTCATAATAGGTCCATTTCAAATTTTTTTTACATATAATTATCTTCAAATATTTGCCATATTCCAAGGAATCTGAGCTTTCATAGAACAGAGGTAAGACGCGGTTTCTAGTTCATAGAGTTTCCTTGTACACTTGGGTAGCAGTTTTCCCACTGAGGAGCTCTCCACTCTTGCTTGTGATCGGAAGAAGCCCCCTTAATACTGGGGTTCTCTATTTGAGTCACAATACAGTGGCCCTGCAGTAATTGGCCCAAGGTGCAGGCACATGAAGTGAAGCCCAGCACCTTGTTGACCTTAAGCTGGGCGATGACAGATGCCTGAGAGACGTCTCCACTCTGGAGCCAGTAGGGATGAGATTCAAAATTGCCTATAGTCTGATCTTCCTGCGGCCTCTAACACTGGTGTAGATAATGGTACAAACCTAAACACAATATGTGTCTGTTGCCCTGTCAAAGGACTTGCACTTAGAAGGGATGCTTGTACTGTGTGTGTGCAGTACCTGCCTACCTTTTTCACCAGTCAGGAGCAGGAATCTACAGGAATCTCCCTTGAGAAATTATTTCAGAACAATACTTTTCTGTTAAGGGAATAATGCAATAAAAGCAGATTGTACTTGGGAGAATCTATTTGCTAATGATTATTAGTACTTTATATGTGAAAGGAGCTTTATAGTAAGTAGCGTGTGCTATTTCAATAGAAGTGTTCTATAAAAATGCTGTGAACTATGAAGTCCCAAGAATGATTATACCCTAATGCGTCCTTTACAGGAGGAAAGATACGTTCCCAGCTGAATGTAACCATTCATCTCCATGGTTCTGGTATCATGAAAAATTAATTACGTGGAAGAAATAGCAATGTGTTCGTGAAGTGTGCTCACTGCTTCTGGGGTCTTAAAGGGAAGCAGAGCAAATCTTCCTGGAGTCTGAGCAGTTCTAGAAACACCCTTGCTTCTGGTTCAGAATACTCTCCATGCACAAGCACTGATGGAAGGGGCTCAAAACACCTAAGAATCAGTTTTCCAGGTGAACAGTGTGCTGTAGTTTTGTCCAGTCAGCTCAACTTGAAGCCCCATAGCCTCGACCACAAGTGCAATCTTTAGGTCTTAATTTCCCACGCTAGTGGGCTCAGTAATAAGATAAAAACACCTCATGTCTCGCACCCCAAAATTTGGCATTCATAGGTAACCCACATGCATTTGGCAAGTCATTCCTAGCTAGTGAAAGGATAGAATTTTAGATTGAATGCCTGTTGGAGCATCATTTAATTCATTTATTTTACCAGTGAAGGGACTGCAGATTTCAATTACAGTTAGAAATAGAACTGGACTGACCTAAGGATTTTATGTTTTGGATCTGCTCTAATACTGAAATTGGGCAAGTCTATAGTAGAGTCAAGAAAGAAATTATGGGGACTGGTGAGATGGCTCAGTGGTCTAAAGCACCTACTTAGAACAAGCTTAGCAAAGCACAGGGACCGCGGTTCAATCCCCCAGCACCACATGCCAGCCAGCCCTGGTGGGCTGAGCTGGCCACACACACACACACAAAAATTAAAAAAAAAAAAAAAAAAGTATGCATTTTGAGAATGAAATAGGGAATTCTGATAGCCAATGAAGAGAAAGGAGTAAGATCTGAGTTGCATAAAATGGTTTTCATTCTTAAAAATTAGAAGTGAAAAGGCTCACATTACAAGTAAGCTAGAGGCCAGAGTCGCTTAGGTGTTAGGTGAATTTTCTGCAGGGACAAGTTTTCATTCTCTGCCTCCCAACCTCAGGTACTGCAGATACTTTTCAATAGCCAAATTCTAAGCAGTGACCAACTCCTACTCCAGTTTAATTACAGTAATTTATCAGACTGAGAAGCTAGGATATTACATCATAGGATCTGTGGATCCAGAAAAACCAAAGAGAGCAAGAGTAAGAGAGAGAGAGCGCTCCACCTTCAAGAGAAATGTCTCGTGTTCCCATGTTTGAAATATTTCCTGGCATGGCCAAAAGGCAAAGGAATAATATTCACAATGCTTGATGGCATTAAGTAAAAGGATTATTCAGAAAACTGGACTTAAACAGATGTTTATTTAAATACAACCAGCAACTCCTACTTTTCCTGTTATCTCCAATTATATGATGCAACATTTTTACCAGAAGTACTTTAACACCGCCTGCCAGGGAGTGAATAAACAATGCTATATTGGGCTAAAAACTGTTTGGGAAAAGGAGATGTCAGCAAAGCTGAGTGTTGTTTAAAGAAAACTAATTATCCAGCTACCTTTGACTCGGATCAAGTAAATAAGACCCTTCCTGAATTGTGCTGA